CTTAAATAGGAGTCCTCTTTCAATCTTCTGCATGTGGTCAGCAGGTTTTTCCAGCACCATTTACTGAATAGTTCTCCTCTCCCAGTGGTAGGTGGTTGAGGCTTTGTCAAAAATGAGTTGGTTGAGAAATTGAGGTTTTGCTTTTGGAAGCTCAATTCCATTCCATTGGTCTATATGCCTGTTCCTGTACCAATACCAAGTTGTTTTGATAATTGTAACTTTATAGTAAAGTTTGAAGTCTGGTAATGTGATTCTACCTGCTTTGTTTTTTTTGCTGAGGATTGTTCTGGCATATCTTGGCTGGTTGTGTTTCCTTATGATTCCTGTGTTGTTTTTTCTAGGTCTGAGAGGAATGTTGCTGGTAGTTTGAAGGGTATTGCATTAATTCTGTAGATTGCCTTAGGTAAGATGGACATCTTCACAATGTTGATTCCTCGAATACATAAGAATGGGATATTTTTCCACTTGTTTGTGTCATCTTTGATTTCTTTGAGCAGTGTTTTGTAGTTTTCATTGTAAAGGTCTTTCATGTTTCTGGTTAGGAAGATGCCAAGGTATTTCACTTTTTTTTGTGGCTATTGTGAATGGAATTATGCTTTTTATTTGGGTTTCTGTTTGTTTATTATTGGTGTAAAGAAATGCGATTGTCTTTTGCACATTTATTTTATATCCTGAGACTTTGCCAAAGTCCTTTATCAGTGTAAGGAAGTTTTTGACAGATTCTCTTGGGTTTTCAAGGTACACGATCATGTCATCTGCAAAGAGAGATAGCCTGACTTCCTCTTTTCCTATTTGAATACCCCTGATTGCCTTCTCTTCTCTGATTGCTCTAGCCAGGACTTCCAATACTATATTGAACAGGAGGGGTGAGAGTGGGCATCCTTGTCTTGTTCCAGTTGTCAAGGGAAATAGTTCCAGTTTTTGTCCATTTAGGAGTATGCTGGCTGTGGGTTTCTCATAGATGGCTTTTACTGTTTTGAGGTATGTTCCCCATATGCCTAGCTGTTCGAGGGTTTTTATCACGAAGGGGTGCTGGATTTTATCAAAAGCTTTTTCTGCATCTAATGATATAATGATGTGGTTTTTGTTTTGACATCTGTTGATGTATTTAATTACATTTATGATTTTATGAATGTTGAACCAGGCTTGCATCCCAGGGATGAAGCCTACTTTGTCATGATGGATGATTTTTGAGATGTGTTGTTGAATCCGGTTCGCTAGGATCTTGATGAGAATTTTAGCATCTATGTTCATCAAAGATATTGGCCTGTTGTTCTCTTTCTTTGTTGGGTCTTTACCTGGCTTGGGTATCAATGTGATGTTGCCTTCGTAAAATGATTTGGGGAGTGTTTCATCTTTCTCAATCACCTGGAATACCTTCAGTAGGATTGGTATCAGCTCTCCTTAAATGTCTTGTAGAATTCTGCTTGAAAGCTATCTGGTCCAGGGATTTTTTTGGTAAGTAGTTTTCTCATTACGTAGTCAATTTCCTTGATTGTTATTGGTCTATTTAGGGTCTCAATTTCTTCTAGTGTCAACCTAGGCAGGTTTTGTGATGACAGAAAGTCCTCCATCTCCTTAAGGTTTTCAAGTTTGTTTCCATACAATTGTACATAGTAGTCTCTAATGATCTTTTGTATTTCTTCAGGATCATATGTGACTTCAACTTTTGTGTTTCTGATTGTGTTTATTTAGACTTTTTCTCTCTTTTTCTTGGTCAGTGTAGCTAGGGTATCATCAAACTTGTTTATCCTTTCAAAGAACCAGCTTTTTGTTTCATTTTTTTTTTTTTTTTGTATTATCTTTTTGTCTTCTATGTCCTGGATTTGGGCTTTTATTTTGGTGATCTGGATTCTTCTGCTGAAATTAGGGTTTTTTGATCTTGCTTTTCTAGCTTTTTTAGGTGGCTTCTTAGGCTGTTAATTTGTGATCCTTCCATTTTCTTCATGTGCATTTGTAGGGACATAAATTCCCCTCTTACTACAGCTTTCATGGCATCCCAGAGATTTTGGTAAGATGTTTCCTCATTTTCATTTTTTCCAGGTATCTTTTAATCTCTATTTTGATTTCATCAACAACCCAGGAGTTGTTTAGCATCATGCTGTTTAGTGTCCATGTCTTTGTGGGTTTGGGGGGACCTTGTTGGTGTTAATGATTATTTTTATTCCGCTGTGGTCCAAGAAGGTGCATGGTAAAATTTCAGTCCTTTTAAATTTGCTTATGCTTGATTTATGGCCAAGTATGTGGTCTATCTTAGAGTATGTTCCATGCAGTGATGAGTAGAATGTGTATTCTGTGGTCTTCTGATGGAGGGTTCTGTAGGTATCAATTAAGTCAATTTTTATCAAGAGTCACATTGAGATTTCGAATTTCATTGCTGATTTTTTGTCCTGATGATTTGTCTAGGGTTGTGAGTCGGGATTAAAGTCCCCAGCTATGATGGTATTGGAGTCGATATCTTTTTTTAGTTTACCTAAGAACTGCTTTATGAAAGTTGGTGCTCCTATGTTTGGTGCATATATGTTTAGGATGGATATTTCTTGTTGATGGATTGAACCTTTTATCATTATGTAGTGGCCTTCTGTATCTTTTTAAATTTTTGATAACTTAAAGTGTTTTTTGTCTGAGATTAAGATCGTGACTCTGCCTTTCTTTTGTGTTCCATTCACCTGAAAATTTGTATCCCATCCTCTTACTTTGAGTCTGTAAGTGTCCTTTCTAGTGTGGTGAGTCTCTTGAAGGTAATAGATTGTTCCTGGTGATATTTTATCCATTTTGCCATTCTATGTCTTTTCAGTGGTGCATTTAGTCCATTCACATTCAAACTAATTATTGATATGTGAGAGTTGATCCCTATCATAATGTTCTTACAGAGTTGTTGTTCTTCCTGTTTGTGTGTTGTCTTTCTTTTGGTTTTAGAGTTGGATCGTGTGTGTTTTTAATCTTTTGCCTGTACTCTTGTGAAGAACGTTGTTGTTCTTTTTTCCTTTTCTTCTGTGTTCAATACTTTCTTAAGTGTTTCTTGTAGAGGTGGTCTTGTGGCAGCGTAGGTTCTTAGGGATTGGATATCTGGGAAAGATTTCAATTCTCCCTCGCTGATGAAGCTTAACTTGGCTGGGTAGGTTATTCTCAGTTGAAATTGTTTATCTTTTAGAACTTTGAAGATAGGGCTCCAAGCTCTCCTAGCCTGAAGGTTTTCTGTAGATAAATCTTCTTCTGTTCTAATTGGTCTTCCCTGGTACATAGTCTGACCTTTTTCTTGCAGCCTTTAGTATTTTTTCTTTTATACTTACTTTGTTTAGGCAAATTATTATGTCTGGGAGTTGGTCTTCTCATTTGTTGTCTTGTACGGGTTGTCTAAATCTCTTGTGTTTGAATTTTTTCATCCTTGATGAGATGAGGGAAGTTTTCTTGAATGATTTCATGAAATGTTTATTCCAGTGTGGCCCCTGTTTCTCTCTCTGCCTCAGGAAGGCCAATTACTCTTAGGTTTGGTCTCTTGAAGTGATCATTCATTTCTTGAAGGTTTTGTTCTGTCTTTTTGAGCTTCTTTTCTATGCTTTTTCCAGTTTGGGTTATTTCTGTGTTTTGGTCTTCAAGCTCTGAGATTCTATCTTCTGCTTGGCTAATTCTGCTTTCCATGCTTATTAGTTTGTTCTTTATTTCCATCATAGTATTCTTTACTGCTGTTATTTCTGACATCAGCTCCTTCCTATTTTCCTCGTCTCTCCTCAGTTTTTTAGTTCTCACTATTAATGTCTTGATGTCTGGGTTTATTGCATGTGACCAGTCATTCTGGGGGCTTTTCATTGTTTGTGTTCCGGCATCTGTTTTCTCAGTGTCTTATCTCCCAGGGGTCTGTGTGAGACCTATATTCTTATTTTGGTTTTTCTTCATTTGTGTGGTTTTTCCCCCTCCCTGCTTTTTCCTTCCCTCCACGTCACCGTCTTCTTTAATTCTGTTATTCAGGGATAGATGTATTGCTTTTACCTCTGCTTGTTCAATCTCCTATACTTTATGTATGCCCTCTTACTTTTTTCAATTCTGGAGTTGCGCTGTAGGTTCGGGGTAGACTTTTTGCAGTTTTGAGATTTACTTAAGTGGGGGAGCTGTGATTCAAAATCTATCTGCAGGTCCTGGTATTTGCCGACAGGTGTATGGATAATCTTTTCCCCCTGCCTTGGAATCTGTCCATGCAGTGGGGCTGTAGGTTTACTCCCTGAAATAAAATGTGGTGAGCAGAGGGAAGAGAATGGAGCAGACAGTGGGGGGAGAGAGAGAGGAGAAAGGGGAGAAACAGACAAGAAGAGAGAGACCTAAACGGAAACAGTTAAAAGCAATAGACCACGGCTACAGACTAACCAACTCCCATAAAAAAAAAAAAAAAAAAAGCATACAATGATGCTAACATACAGGCTAACCAACCAACTTATTGGTGTGCTGTTCCTCTATACAAAGATATGGTTTACAGAGAGAAGAAAAGAGAAGAAAAGGAAGAGGAAAAGAAAAATAAAAAAAAGAAGGAACAAACCAGTAGGAATAGAATTGTCATTAAACTAACAGAAGCAATCGAGCACACTCTGAGACTTTTTAAGTCCAATGTCCTTTCAGCTCCAATTTCTAGCTGTCTTTTCAAGCTGGTAAATTAGTTCGCAGTTTGGATCAGTTGCCCCTGGCCTGCTGTGAAGGACAGTTCAGATCACACTCAGTTCACCATTCAAATCTGGCCTCTGTTTTTCAAGCTTGTTTCTCCCGTTTCGGTGTTGTTACCTTGTATCGCTAGTAGGTGGTGCTATCTCAGCTGCTTGCCCCAGAGGGGGTGGAGCCCGACAGGAGTGGGGCAGAGGCTGGAGATGGGAGCCTGCCTCAGGGCACACAGGAGAAGACCCACGGCCAGCAGGACTTCACGGTGGCAGCAGAGGTGGCAGTGATCCCAGCAGATCTTGCCTGCAGGGGCTTCAAGGACTGAAGTCATGGATTGCCTCAGGCATGGGTGGCACGATGCCTATGGCCACCACGGAGGTCATGCAGCGCCAGCGGCTGCTGTGTCTGTGGCTGTAATGGCTGTCCAGACCGCTGCAATGTCCCAGCGGTGGTGACGGCCGAGCTCCATGTGAAGAGTAGGCTGCCCATGCTGGGATCAGCAGCCCCCTGGAAGAAAGCCAGAGACCCTCTGCGTTATCCTTTGCAGAGGGTTTCATAGACCAAGCTGCCCCATCGCCATCTTGCTGGAAGTGGCTCAGTGAGGTTTTGATTTGCAGTTTTTGATGACTAGTGAGGCTGAGCATGTTTTCATGTATCTGTTGACTGTTCGTCTGTCTTGTTTTGAGAAGTGTCTATTCATATCTTTTGCCCACTTTGTAATGGGGCTGTTTGTTTTTTTTCTTTTCAGCACATTTGAGTTCCTTGTAGATACCAGATGTTAGGCCTTTGTCAGCTATACAGTTGGCAAATATTTTTTCCCAGTCTGTAGGCTGTCTCCCTGCTCTCTCAGTGGTTTATTTGGTTTTGCAAAAGCTTGTCAGTTTGATGAGGCTCCACTTGTCTATCTTATCTCTTATGGCATGGGCACTTGAATTTTATTAAGAATTGGTTGCCAGTTTCAATTTCCATAAGGGTATCTCCTGCATTTTCTAACGTTGTTAAAGTTTGAGGTTTTATGTTTAGGTCTTTGATCCATTAAGAGTTGTTTTTTGTGTATGGGGATAGGTTGGGGTTTTGTTTTAATCTTCTGTATGTGGTCAGTCAATTTCCCCAGCACCATTTATTGAATAGTTTCTCCTCTCCCCATAGTCGATATTGGAGGCTTGATCGGAGATGAGTTGGTTGAGAAATTGAAATTTTGCTTCTAGAATCGCTCTCTTGTTCCACTGGTCTATATGTACCAATATAAGGCTGTTTTGATTATTGTAGCTTTATAATAATGCTTAAAGTCTAGGAACATGATGCCTCTTGCTGTTTTTTTTTTTTTTTTGCTGAGGATGGTTTTGTCTATTCATGATTGTTTTTGTTTCCGTATAATTTCCTGTATTGTCATTTCCAGGTCTGAGAAGAATGCTGCAGGTAATGTAATGGGTTTTGTGTTAAATCTGTAGATTGCCAGGGGTAGGATGAACATCTTAACAATGTTGATTTTTCCAATCCATGAGCATGGAATATTTTTCCATTTGGTTTTGTCATCTTTGATTTCTTTGAGCAGTGTAATTGTTTTCTTTGTGAAAGACTTTGACTTCTCTTGCTAGGAAGATGCCAAGGTATTTCTTTTTTAAAAAATGCCTATTGTGAGTGGGATTATGCTTTTTATTTGAGTTTCTTTTTGTTTATTGTTGGTGTATATGAATGCTACTGACTTTTGCACATTTATTGTATGTCTTTAGACTTTGCCAAAGTCCTTTATCAGTGCAAGGAGGTTTTTTGCAGATTCTCTTGGGTTTTTTAGGTATAGAATCATATTGTCTTCAAAGAGGGATAACTTAACTTCCTCTTTTCCTATTTGGATACCCCTGATTTCCTTCTCTTGTCTGATTGGACAAGAGACAAGAACTTCCAATACAATATTGAACATGAGGGGTGAGTGGGCATCCTTGTCTTGTTCTAGTTTTCAGGGAAAATGGTTCCACTTTCTTTCTGTTTAGCAGTATGTTGGCTGTGCATTTTTTTGTAGATGGCTCTTACTATTATGAGGTATGTTCCATCTATGTCTAGATGTTTGAGGATTTTTATTCAAGAAAGGTTGCTGGATTTTATCAAAAGTTTTTTATGACATCTAGTGACATAATCATATGGTTTTGTCTTTATATCTTTTAATGTATTTAATTACGTTTATGGTCTTGCAGATGTTGAGTCACCCCTGCATCCCAGGGATGACGCCTACATCCCAGGGATGTTAAGTCAGCCCTGCATCCCAGGGATGAAATCATGGTAGATGATTTTTCAGCTGCACTGTTGGATCTGGTTTGCTAGAATCTTGTTGAGAATTTTATCATCTATGTTCATCAAGGATATTAGCATGTAGTTTGTTATTTGTTGGTTCTTTACCTGGTTTGGGTATCAATGTGATGCTAGCTTCATAAAATGACTTACGGAGAGTTCCATCTTTCTCAAATGCCTGGAATACTTTCAATTGGCTTGGTATCAGCTCTTTTTTGTATGTTTTATAGAATTATGCTTGAAAGTCATCTTGTCCAGGGCTTTTTTTTTCATATGTAGTTTTATTATGACATAGTAGATTTCCTGGGTTGTTATTGGTCTATTTACGGTCTCGATTTCTTCTTGTTTCCACCTGGGGAGGTTGTGTGATGTCAGAAAGTCCTCTATTTCACTTAGGTTTTTGTGTCTGTTTCCATACAGGTGTACATAGTAGTCTCTGATAATCTTTTGTATTTCTTCAGGATCAGTTGTGACTTGACCTTTTGCATTTCTGATTGTGTTTATTTGGGCTTTTTCTCTTTTTCTTGGTCAGTCTAGCTAGGCATCCATCAATCTTGTTTATCCTTTCAAAAAACTATGTTTTGGTTACATTGATTTTTTTGTATTATATTTTTGTCTTCTGTGTCTCAGATTTGGGTTTTTATTTTGGTGATTTGGATTCTTCTGCTGAAGTTAGGGTTTTGGTGGTCTTTCTTTTCCAGCTTTCTTAGATGATTTGTTAGGCTATTAATGTGTGATATTTCCATTTCTACATATGTGTTGGTGGAGATATGAATTCCCCCCTTAGTGCTGATTTCATGGCATCCCAGAAATTTTGATAAGATGTTTCTTTGTTTTCATTTGTTTCCAGGTATCTTTTGATTTCTGTTTTGATTTCCATGTTGACACAGGAGTTATTTACCATCATGGTGTTTAGTGTCCATATCTTTGTGTGTTTGGGGGAAACATTGTTGGTATTGATATTTATTTTTATTCCACTGTGGTCTGAGAAGGTGCATGCAGAATTTCAATCTTATAGAATTTGTTTATGCTTGATTTATGTCTGAGGATGTGGTCGATCTTAGAGTATATTCCATGTGGTGATGAGTAGAATGTATATTATCTAGCTGTTGATTGGGGTGTTCTGTAGTTATCAATTATGTACATTGGTCAAGAGTTACATTGAGGCTCCAGATCTCTTTGTTAATTTTTGTCTTTTTTTTATCTGTCTAGGGTTGTTAGTGAAGTGTTTAAGTTCCCAGCTATGATAGTGTTAGAGTCAACGTCTTTTTTTAGTCTATCTACAAGCTGCTTTTTGAAAGTTGATGTTCCTATGTGGGGTGCATATATGTTTAGGATTGATATTCCTTGTTTATTGATTGAAACTTTTATTATTGTGTGGGGACCCTCTGTATGTTTTGAAATATTTGATAGCTTGAAGGGTATTTTGTCTGATACTAAGATTGTGACTCCTGCTTTCTTTTGTGTTATATTCACCTGAAATTTTGTTTCCCATCCTCTTACTTTGAGTCTGTGTGTTTCTTTCCTGGTGAGATGAAACTCCTGAAGACAATATATTGTTGCCTCATGATATTTTATCCATTTTGCCATTCTATGTCTTTTCAGTGGTGCATTTAGTCCATTCACATTCAAACTAATTATAGAGATGTGAGAGTTTATCCCTATCATGAGGTTCTTATAGAATTTGTTGTTGTTGCTGGTGTTTATTTGTTTGTTGTTTTTCTTTTGATTTTTGGGTTGATTCATGTGTGTTTTCAATCTTTTTCTTGCAATCTTGGGAAGAGGGTTGACATTCTTTTTTTCTTTTCTTCTGTGTTTAATACTTTCTTAAATTTTTCTTGTAGAGCTGGTCTGGAGGCAGAGTAAATTCATAGGGATTGAATGTTTGGGAGGGATTTTAATTCTCTGTCACTGATGAAACTTAGCTTAGCTGTGTAGTAATTCTTGGTTGAAAATGTTTATCTTTGAGAACTTTGACGATTAGGCTCCAAACTCTCCTAGTCTGAAGTGTTTCTGTAGATAAGTCTGCTGCTATTCTAATTGGTTTTCTCTGGTAGGTAGTCTGACCCTTCTCTTTTGCTGCCTTTAGAATTTTTTCTTTTAGACCTACTTTGTGTAGGTAAATTGCAATGTGTCTAGGAGTTGGTCTTCTCATTTGTTGTCTTGCAGGGTTTCTCTGAATCTCTTGTGTTTGAATGATCATGTCACTGATAAGAGGAATGAAGTTTTCTTGGATAATTTCATGGAATGTTTGTTCCAGGGTGGTCTCTGTCTCTGTATCTGCCTCAGGATTTCCAATTAATCTTAGGTTCAGCCTCTTGAAATAAGTGCTCATCTCTTGAAGGTTTTGTTCTGTCTTTTTAAGCTTGTTTTCTATATTTTTTAACAGCTTGAGTTAGTTCCTTATTTTGGTCCTCAAGCTCTGAGATTCTTCTGCTTGGATAATTCTGCTTTCCATGTTTATCAGTTTCTTATTTATTTCATTCACTTTATTCTTTTTTAAATTTTAACATGTGGGGTACAATTCAGGGTTAGGCATACAAACATCGATTATGCAGGTGCCCTTGTTGATGAGGTGTGCTTCTCACTTCCCTGGCAGTTTCCCTCAACTGCCAATCCCACCTCCCCTCCCCTGGCAGTTTCCCACTCCTGCCAATCCTTTTCTTATAATATTATGATAATTGTTCAATTCACTGTATTCTTTATTGCTGTTATCTTGGTTACCATCTCCTTCATTCTTTCATCTCTCTTCATTTCTATTTATTCTTTCTATTAATATCTTGATATCTGGGTTTGTGGATTGAGACCAATCATTCTGGGGACTTTTCATTGTTTGAGTTCTGAAGTCTGTAATTCTCAGTGGCTGACCTCCCAGGGTTGTATGTGAGACTCATATTCTTCCTTTGTTTTTTCTTCATTTGTGTAGGTTTTCCTTCCTCTTTTTCTTTTTGCTTCTTCTTTAATTCTGTTGTTCAGTGATGGGGAGATAGCTTTTATTTCTGTTTGCCCAATCTCCTATTCTTCCTTAGGTAGATCCTCTGGATTTGTTCAATTTTGAAGCTGGATTGGGCGAGGGAGCCTGTGCTTTTTGTAGTTTTGAGTTTTAATCAAGGTGGATCTATGATTCAGAAGCTATCTGCAGATCCTAGTATTTGTTGACAGGTTTGTGGGCCCCCTGGAACGCACTTCCCACTACCTTACAA